GGGTTTGTGGGCTGCTTAGCGGATATGGTTACGGATCTTAGGTTTAGGGTTTAAAGTTAGGGCCTCAAGGATTTAGAGAGCTTTTTGCCTAGCAGCGGCTTATGGTCCCAACCCTGGTATGGAAAGCCTGCACATCTAAGTAGTTTATACAAACGCGGGTCGAATCCAGAATGTAGCCGAGGATGAAGAAAGCTTGCATCAGTCAATCTGTCCGAGGATCAGCGCATATCAGCGCAGTACATTATATCATCCTGGAATCAAGTCTAGCAAGACCACGATCTGCAGTCATTTTGCATCCCATCGCCTTAAACCCTAAACACTAATCCCAGCTGGCTTCGCTCAATTACCCTCAAACAGCCAGAACAACCAAAACTAGAATTCCTATATCCAAAGCCGACAGCGATTCAACCATACATTGAGGTTCACCAGTTAGTTGGTGCTTTGAAACTGCGGGCTGTTTGAACGAATTTGAAGGGATCACGGTTTGTTGGCATTTTAGGTCATCAGAGGCTTGCCCTAGACCCTACTGGAAACCCCCCCCCCATGGGGGGAAATATGGTGGTCCTGTTTAGAGACGTGGGCCCTGTAGGGCTTCTCGATAAGCCTTGTAAGCCCTAAACCCGAAAGCCAGACTCTTTCGGAGCTGTCGTTTGAGGATGTACATGTTTAATGTACCCCTTAAGCGCTAAGCCCTATAAACTCTGTTCTGTGCCTCAACCCTAAACCCTAAACCGACTGTGTGCTCGGGCTTTGTGCTGTTGTTCAGCGCGCGAGCCTCTGAAAATAAACGACTGAGCCCCAGGCTCGAGAGTCTTGCGACTATGGGGGCAGAGGCAGAATAATGTACGAGAGTCCATCATAGAGATTCTGACAGATATAGTAAGATGTACTGTAATACGCTTTAACATAAGAGATATTATAATATGCTATAGTACGCTTTAACATACTATCATATACTATTATTAGGGATTAGGGATTCGGGTTGGGTCGGCTTCACCGGTTCCCGTCCTGGCCTTGGGTGACTTCTTCCATATGGCCAAGAACGGCTGCACCACAGTCTTGACCTGCCGGGTTTCGGTTTCAGACCGGCAGCAGGATCGACCTAAACCCTAAATCCGAAAACCCTAAAACCCTGAAACCCATAACTCCTAAACCCAAAACCCTGAAATCCTTTACCCTAAACTGCACCGAGACCCGAATGTTCCACAGGCCTCTCGGACCTCTCAGAGTGTCCGGTTATACACTTTTGCCGGACTTATTGGGATTTGTTTTGTGGTCTCACGGTTTAGGTTTGCAGTCAACTCTAGCACCCTACATGCATGGCTGCTCGCAATAAATATTCTTTAAACTCAGAGAATCAGAGCAGCGAATCTTCCTTCTTGCAGCTGCATCGCAGCTTCTATGGCAAAACTGCAGCAGCGGTTGACTTGAGAACGTTTCGTGACTTCTACGGGTCGATGGTGTTGCATCCTCTTCAGTGCCAGGTGTAGGACCAGCTGCACTGCGATTGCAATGACTCGATCCAAAGCCCTCGCTCAACTCGGGAGGTCAACACATCAAAGGAAGGACAGCAAGAGGAAAGTGCTTCTACATGCATTTAGGGTATCGGCGCTCACACGCGGAGGATCCAGGCGAGGCATGTGGTTCGAGGTCTGCATTTAGGGTTTAGGGTTTAGCTGTTTTAGGCTCCAACATTCTGGTCAGATTGGGAGCCCTTAGAAGGGGCCCCCACCCTGTAATAGTGACTATAAGGATCATATGGGATTATATTAGGGCCCTATTATATTCCTATTATACCACTATTACAGGGTGGGGGCAGCTTCTAAGGGAGCCTCTAAGACACATGACATGATGCATCGACGGCACAGAACGAAAAGTTCTCGAGTCCAACACAAAACTAGTTCGAAGGCTGTTGAATGCAGGCTCCGGCGAGGAGGTTTGCGATTTCAGGCCTCAGGCGGTAGATACCCTAAAGTTTGAGCCCTACACTCGAAAGTCAAATCCCAAAGCCACCGAAACTTTGGAAAAAAACACGCCCCGGATAGCTAGCAGCCTCATCGTAGGATGCAGCAGGACCCAGGTCGAGTAGTTGGACTTCCTTGCAGAGCGCTCTACAGTAAACCCCATAAAGTTGGAAACCGGACTAAGGCCAAATAGTGCTGGGATTCCCAATGCATTACTCTTCTTTTCCCTCTCGCATTGCTTCGAAGTCTATGCGGGCATATGCATTACTCTTCAGGATTGAGGCTATTGGGTTTCCAGCTTTTGGGCTTCTACTGCAAAGGCTTTAAGCTTTCAAACGGGTTCAAGGGTGCCTTGACCTAGATTCCATGAGATTCTTCGATGAATCGAAAGGCAGAGGCAGCGGGTTCTATGCGATGTCTGTCAATGGTAGGGCCTTCAGAGGCTCACAAGCATTCCACGGTTTAGGGTTTAGGGTTTAGGATTTTTTTTATCGGTTCAAGAGGGTTCTTCGAGTTTCGATGGATACAGCTTCACGGCTTGCAGAGGGCTCTGTAGGGTTTGACGTTCTGACAGGATAGGAAAGGGTTCTGACGGGTTCTAGAATGGCCGAAAAGGTTTCTAGAGGTCCTACAGGGTGTCGCGGATGGCTCCAAGCGGTTTGATAAAGGGCTCTGTCACGGTTTAAAAAAGTTCTGCTGGGCTTGCAAAGGGTTCTAAGTACGGGTTCGGGAGGGGTTGAATGAGGGTATGTTTCCGCTGTGTGGTTCTAGGCTTTGTAGTTTCGAGCGAAGTTAAGCATGTAGCACGGTGTTCCGAAAACACGGTTCTTGGGCCCAAAAAACCCTAAACTCCCTAAACCGTCCTCTGATCCCAACCTCCTGCCCATAAGCCCTTCAAGTCAATACGCGGCCACGAAACCTTGAGCCTGTCCACCCTCTTGCTTTCTTCAGCGGTTAAGCCGTAAAATCACTGTTGTACACAGGCTTGACTGGAGCTCGCCGGGCTAGGCCCTATAGTTCTATAATCCCTATAAGCCCTGAAGCCTCATCTCTAAACTGTGGGTTCTTCTTCCATGGCTCTGCTGGCATCGGCTGCATGCTCCTGGACCCGCGGGTGTGGGCACAGGGCGACTGGCCCACGGTTTCGGCTTGATAAGTATTTTAGGGTTCGGGTTTCGGGTTTAAGTGTTTGTGGCTTTCGTCGTTTAGGGTGTGGCCACTTGGGGGGTTTCCGAAAATTAGGGGTACCTTATTATGGGGTCCTTATAGTAAGGATCCCACTATTCAGGGTACTATATTAGGGTCCCCTATTTTTGGAAACTCCCACTTGGGTAAATAAGGAATTCACCCAACACATTCAGACCGAACCCCTTTACACCTTACAGCGCTAAAGCTTGGCCCCGAACCATCAGCTGAAGAAGTCGTATTTCTTAGGTACGGCCCCCATACAGTAAGAGTCTATAATAGGGCTACTTTTAAGATCCTACTATATCCATATTATAAACAATATTGTTCAACTATTACTGAGTGGGGCCGTTCCCAACGTATTTCACAGTAGGAAGACTACCAATCCCATAACTGCCTTGCGCGTGTCTGACATAGAATGCGGCCAATACTGCGACGCCTGTGACTGGCTCCAACATCTTCCAACCGCGTGACAACGGCAACGACCAAACTCACAGCAAAAACAACTCAACATGGAACTCCTGCAAGCACCAAGAACCTAAAACCTGTAGGACGCCTGAAGCAGAAACCCCAAAAGCTGCTTCCGGAAAGGTCCTAGTTAGCAGGATCCGAAGGAGTCCCCCCAGATTCCAAGAAGCCAAGTTGAAGCCTCCTGATTACGGTAACTCAGAGTCCATACCTCTACACCCTAAACCCAGCGTATATAAATTTCAGAAGTAAGCTCCAATCCCAAAACCCTAGAAACGATGCCTAAACAGCTCCTGGCGGGAGGATCTCGCCGAGCATGGCGGCAAGTGTGAAGGGCGTTTTCGGAAGGATACCCTGTTTTGAGGGTTTGTTTCTGTTGGCTCCCACCTTGCTGGGGCTACCCCAAATCAATCTGGAACCCGTTTGGACAAGTTTCGCTTCTTCGGTTTCGGGTGCAGATGGTGAGTTGCTCAGGTTGGGGTTGTGCTTGCAACGTCGGATTCGAAATTGGTCGGCGTTTCGCTTGTCCTGTGCTGATTGAAATTTCGGACTTCGGGGCTGCAGATCTGCTGCATTCCGGCTTTATCGCGTGCTACGTTTAGGGTCGCAGAGGCTGCAGGCTCTTGTTGCAATAGCAGAGCAGTACTCCGAACTGTCATTTATGAGTTTAGCCGACTTGAACTCTTGATGCACGTGCCGGCAGGCCAGTGGAATCAATGGCGCTGGCGGTCATTGAGAGGAGTAGCCAAGGCCTAGCGATGGGAACCTTTACAGCACGAGGCCGATATGGGACTTGCCGAAAATGGAGGACGCTAATATATTAATTACCCTAAATAGTAGGATCCTTAATATAAGGACCCCGAAATAAGGTAGCCATCATTTTCGAAAACTCCCATATGCAGACCTGGCAGATGCTCACACAACAACACAAGCCCCGCCCCAAAAGAGAAGGGTTGCCACACATATATTTCCCACACAGCAAAGCTCCAGCCACAACTTCGCTGAGAGTGAGAGAAGAAGCGTGCCACTTCTAAGTGCATATCACGACAAGCGGCCTGCGATGCGAAGCATCAGCTTGCAGCCTCTAGGAGAACTTTCATCGTGAAGTGTGGAGTTGCTAGCTATGCCAGCCTGCCAAAAGCTCCCTCTACCTTTGATCTGGGCATCTTGTCACGACGGCCGGGACACGTGATTTGCAGTGATGAACGGGGGCGATCTTGCTTACAGACATGCAGCTGGAGCCATAACGCCGGCCATCGTGTCTATGACCAGTCAAGGCATCAGAAGGTGCGATCCTGATGTTAGACCCTACACTATGCGGCACCGAGCCGGCCTTCGGGCCTTCGGCACTCATGCTCACTGAGGCTCGTAGTACAGGTGGACCTCGTAAGTGAAGTCAATGAGGCCGTTGTCCTTCATCTTTCCCTTCAGTGGGCCTGCCTCCTCGTCCTCGGAGTTGTAGATCTTGAAGTCCGAGTCCGGCATCCACTCCTGGTTGAAGCCCAGCCTCTTGCGGCCCTCGGACAGCACCTCGCTCGCATCCGCATCGGACTTGATCATGAAGCGGCAGCGGGCACCCTGGGCTGGGGCAGTGAACTCGATTTCCACCACGTCGCGGGTCAGGACAGGTGTCCAGGGAGTGGCGGAGGCGCCGGCTTGGCCGCGCAATGCCGTGCGGCTCTCCTGGCGTGGTGCCGCTCGCAGGCCCACAAAGGAGAGGGAGGAGCCCAGGAACGCGACCAGCAAGACTGCGGGCAGCAAGATCGTCTTGGCCATGGCGATGGACGTGAGTCAAAAAAACTGTTGAGGGATGTCCTGGCCTGAGCTTTCCTACCCGCTCGAACCGGGTGCACGAACACCGACTGCCAACCTTCTTGTGAATTAGAAACGGCGATCTACCACAAACAAACCGAGACGAAAACACACCCACATCATTCGGCAGACATGGCTGGTCTCAGCATCAATGCAAGTGATGATGAGAAGCGATTCGGCTGCAAGATCCCATCTCTTATGCAAACTTCCTTTTTCTTCACGACTGGCCTGCGATGCGAAGCATCAGCTTGCAGCCTCTAGGAGAACTTTCATCGTGAAGTGTGGAGTTGCTAGCTATGCCAGCCTGCCAAAAGCTCCCTCTACCTTTGATCTGGGCATCTTGTCACGACGGCCGGGACACGTGATTTGCAGTGATGAACGGGGGCGATCTTGCTTACAGACATGCAGCTGGAGCCATAACGCCGGCCATCGTGTCTATGACCAGTCAAGGCATCAGAAGGTGCGATCCTGATGTTAGACCCTACACTATGCGGCACCGAGCCGGCCTTCGGGCCTTCGGCACTCATGCTCACTGAGGCTCGTAGTACAGGTGGACCTCGTAGGTGAAGTCGATGAGACCGTTGTCCTTCATCTTTCCCTTCAGTGGGCCTGCCTCCTCGTCCTCGGAGTTGTAGATCTTGAAGTCCGAGTCCGGCATCCACTCCTGGTTGAAGCCCAGCCTCTTGCGGCCCTCGGACAGCACCTCGCTCGCATCCGCATCGGACTTGATCATGAAGCGGCAGCGGGCACCCTGGGCTGGGGCAGTGAACTCGATTTCCACCACGTCGCGGGTCAGGACAGGTGTCCAGGGAGTGGCGGAGGCGCCGGCTTGGCCGCGCAATGCCGTGCGGCTCTCCTGTCGTGGCGCCGCTCGCAGGCCCACAAAGGAGAGGGAGGAGCCCAGGAACGCGACCAGCAAGACTGCGGGCAGCAAGATCGTCTTGGCCATGGCGATGGACGTGAGTCAAAAAAACTGTTGAGGGATGTCCTGGCCTGAGCTTTCCTACCCGCTCGAACCGGGTGCACGAACAGCGACTGCCAACCTTCTTGTGAATTAGAAACGGCGATCTACCACAAACAAACGAACGAGACGAAAACACACCCACATCATTCGGCAGACATGGCTGGTCTCAGCATCAATGCAGTGATGATGAGAAGCGATTCGGCTGCAAGCTCCCATCACTTATGCAAACTTCCGTTTTCTTCACGACTGGCCTGCGATGCGAAGCATCAGCTTGCAGCCTCTAGGAGAACTTTCATCGTGAAGTGTGGAGTTGCTAGCTATGCCAGCCTGCCAAAAGCTCCCTCTACCTTTGATCTGGGCATCTTGTCACGACGGCCGGGACACGTGATTTGCAGTGATGAACGGGGGCGATCTTGCTTACAGACATGCAGCTGGAGCCATAACGCCGGCCATCATGTCTATGACCAGTCAAGGCATCAGAAGGTGCGATACTGATGTTAGACCCTACACTATGCGGCACCGAGCCGGCCTTCGGGCCTTCGGCACTCATGCTCACTGAGGCTCGTAGTACAGGTGGACCTCGTAAGTGAAGTCAATGAGGCCGTTGTCCTTCATCTTTCCCTTCAGTGGGCCTGCCTCCTCGTCCTCGGAGTTGTAGATCTTGAAGTCCGAGTCCGGCATCCACTCCTGGTTGAAGCCCAGCCTCTTGCGGCCCTCGGACAGCACCTCGCTCGCATCCGCATCGGACTTGATCATGAAGCGGCAGCGGGCACCCTGGGCTGGGGCAGTGAACTCGATTTCCACCACGTCGCGGGTCAGGACAGGTGTCCAGGGAGTGGCGGAGGCGCCGGCTTGGCCGCGCAATGCCGTGCGGCTCTCCTGGCGTGGCGCCGCTCGCAGGCCCACAAAGGAGAGGGAGGAGCCCAGGAACGCGACCAGCAAGACTGCGGGCAGCAAGATCGTCTTGGCCATGGCGATGGACGTGAGTCAAAAAAACTGTTGAGGGATGTCCTGGCCTGAGCTTTCCTACCCAGCTGAGCTTGGCGCGATGAGCAGCACATACAAGAGCTGTTGCGGAAAGGCAGAGACGAAGCTCACATCAACCGGACTTTGCAGGGCATCTTTGTAGAAACATACATGTACATATAGGCAGACAGATAGATAGAAAGATAGATAGAGTATGGATACCTCAGTAGTTGTCCTCCGTGGCTCCAAAATACAAATTGATGTTCTTGCTGATGCATCTGGTCTCGGGTAGAACACATGTTCAGGGATGACTTCAGTCCAATGCAAAGTCGGCAAATCCGCAAAGCGTGATCTCATTCATCACTCACCTTTGCATACTTCAACCACGTACCTGCCAAATACTAAGCCTCCGAGTCTAGACGCTACACCTGTGCAGTCCGTCGTATCACGGCATTTCTGCTGGTTTCAAAGAATTTCTACTGCAATAACCGACAGCAAAGAGGCTCCAGTCATGAACTCAACTCTCACACCACCATGACAACTCGCGAGTAGCCCTAGACCCTCTCAACCCAAAGGCCTTAAATCCTGACACCGATGCCCCACAGCCCTGAACCCTATAGTATCCTAAACTCCAACATGACCACTGCTTCGGCCGTTCTTTCTCCCTCGACTCGAAATGTCCTCACCAGCTTTCTCTGCACAGCTCCTCCACAAGAGGCTCGAGGGCTCAGATGTCTAGGGAGTTAGACTTAGAGGTCTCAGGGTTTATGTAGAGAGTAGTGGGGAGCATAAGTACTATAGTACCATGTATGCAGAGTTACATGTCATGAAATAACTAACTATTTCAAACCTAAACCCTTCAATCACAGAAAAGGAAACACAAAGCAGTACAGCAATTACACAGACACAGAAGCACTTGACTGAGCAAGAACATCCCGAGAACCATCCTCTGCGCCGCAGCGTCCACAAGGCCCGATCCGGCAGTTGGCCGATGAGCAGCGGAAGAAGCTCGGAGACCTGGGGTTTAGGGCTTGGGGTTTAAGGGTACAACACTAACATAACGAACAAACATACCACAACATTAATACTGTTATAGTCGTACCTGTCAACTAAAACGACGTGCTTTTCATGCACTGTTCGAAAGGCCTCTGTTGCTGTGGGACTCGTGTTTGTTGGTAAAGGCCTCAAACTTGGTGGAGAGTTAAATTTCTTTTTGCATGTATAGTTGTGTTGTTAGCGAGTTTGTCAACGGCAGTCCGGGGTGCGTTTGCTTCAGGCTTGTCAGGATTGGGGACTTTCAGAAGTGGCACCTGGACCTTTGCGTGTGTTGGGGGATGGATGGGCTCAGTTGCACGTTTTAGGAGGGAGGGTCTCTGCGGGGCTTCGCATAGGGACTGGGGCTTTAGAGGTGGTATTTTTTTGGCTTGGAAGCAGCTAGTATGTAGAAGACTGTTGTTCCAAAAAAAATAATAGTAATAGGTTGCGGTCTAAGTGGCCTTATAAGCTTGGAAGGTTGGAGCTGTTGAGGGCGCCAAAGACTTCAAGGAACTTACATGGGGCATTTGGGCTTTTTTCAGGAGCTCTTGAAGCCTTTCGGTACGCCCGCTTACAAGCCCCAGCCCTAACATAAATCCTGAGCCTCCAAATAGCTTTATTAAGGATGTGCATTAAAAACCCATAAACAGGAAACTCACAAAGCTAGGCTGTTTCGAGGCCAGGTGGACCTTGGTGGAGCCCGGAGGGTACTTATGCACTACGCTCCCTAAACCTAATAAACCCTATCCTACACCCTCAAAATTGTACCCTATAAACCTCGAGCCTCAACTAGGATGCCCAGCAACCTGGGAAGAGAAAGGGCTCCCTTTTCGGTATTGAACAGCTTTCTAGCTTTATGCGGAACCTACCACCCCAGAAAGGGAAAAAAGCTGACAGGCCCCCTAAACAGGCACATAAGCAAAAATTAGGACGATAGGTGTACCCCATATAAACCTCCCTTGTGGCGAATATCCTTTTAAAGGGTCCCTATAGCCTGAGGGTCCCTTATAAACCCTTGTACACTCTTATAAACCCCAAAACCCAGAACCCTGAACTTTGAACCCTAAAGCTCTGAAAGTCCCACTCTCCCAAAACTAGGATAGGGACACCCCCCAATATAAACCCCTTATAATGAACGTCCTCCCTAGCCTGAGGGCCCCTTATAAACTTTTAAACCCATATCAAAAACCCCTAGAAACCCGAAAATAAAAACCCTAGCCTGAGGGCCCGACTCTCCCAGATTTGTCGCAGGAGCCGGCAGCGGCGTTAAAAGTGGTCAGGTCCTCGAGGCAAACCAAGGCTAGGCTGGAGCAGAACATCTGTTTTTTTTTGGTGGGATTTACAGCTTAGGGTTCCTTTAAAGGGGATTATCAGGGTTTCCTTAAAGGGCTCTTTAAGGGTACTATTGGGGTTTATGGTTTAGTGGTTTAGGGTTGAAGGAGGTTTAAGGGCTTGTTTTATTCATAAAATTTAGGTTTAAAGCTTTATATTGGGGGTTAGGAGCTTAATTACAGCTTATAGGAGTTTAGGTTATGAGGGTTTGGTTTGGGGCTGAGGGCTAACATGACAGGGTATACGTCTACTTACCGGTGCTTCATGGGGAGCGGGAGAAGGGATCCCCTAATAATCGTCCCTATATAATCCTTTATCGTGGTCCTTCTATTCCTTCCTCCACTCTTCCTTTACGCTGCAGCAGGTTTCGGGGTTAAGGCGTTCAGGGCTTTGGGGTCTGGAGGTGTTGGCGTGCTTCAAGCCCAGGACACTAAGGCTGTATCTAATTCTGTATCTACGTAAGCGACTGACTCAGATTCCCGAAACAATGGGAGCCCTAAACCCTTGAACCCTGAACCCCAAAAAAAACAGAATTCCCATCATGAAGAACCCCAATAAGAACCAGGGGTCCTTTACCAGGTGTTAGGTTGAAAAGAATAATGAATATGAAAGAGATGAAGGTCGATCAATGCAGGTTGTGCTCGATGCTGCCATGAGTCTGTGGTATTTGGGAGTTTCCGAAAATAGGGGACCCGAATATAGTACCCTAAATAGTAGGATCCTTAGTATAAGGAGCCCAAAGTAAGGTACCCCTATTTTCGGAAACTCCCATTTCACGAACAGCTTCTATGTTTGTGGCCACGGAAGTGCAGCTGACTCAAGTTGCAGACGAGGGGCAGGGTCCACGTCCGTCTCAAACATTTGGCGCACGAGTGACCTCGTTCCATTTTCGGTTGACCCAAAACTACAAATCTCACAAACACCATCATGTCTGCTTGCAGCTGCCGCGCAAAGCGATATGCCAGTAGCTACCCCGCTCCAGAGAAGCAATGGCGCTGTTGTAGCTAATGGCATTCGGCATGCACCTGCCACCGCCCATCGAATGATGCTCTGGTCATGCCCGCCCCCCCTGTGTCGCCTTAGATCGAGACCCGTATAGAAGACTCGGTCACAGGAGCCTTGTTAAAAGCACCGGACTATGTTGCAGGAAGATCTGTTTATCAAAACCCCCGTCCTGGTAATGTATACAGGACAGCAGGAAGTCTTTAATGGCAAGGTCAGATGAATGGGCACTCGGAAACCACCAGAGGACTAACGGATTTTTGTAGGAAGTGCGAGTCTTGCGGAGGGGGCTCTGCAAAGTAAATCCTATCGTTCATGGACAGACACATATGACCTTGTCGCTTGGCTAGGACTGTGCCCGCAGTGCAGGGTTTACGCTCGCACAACTCGGACATGTCAGGCGAGGTTCTCGGAACTTAGGATTAGGGTTTGGTGTTCAGGGTGTTTTGGAACTTTCGTTGTACAGGCTAGATGCTCTTTCTCTGGCCATGCAAAGCAGACTATTTCGAGGCTACCAGTTACAAGGCCCAAGAACTCGAGCATGCACATAAAGCCAGTACAGTCAGGAAGGAACATTCTCGGTGATACAAAATGTACGACTTCGAGTCTGCTAGCCTGACAATCGCGTGCGCGCGCGCGCGCGCGGCGACAGGACTGCATGCACCTCATAGACGGCATCGAGAGGAGTAGCAGGACAGCTGCTTCCCAACAGCTTTGCTTCTCCTGAGCCATTTGCAACTTGACTCCGGAAACGCATTTGAAAGTTCAGCTTGTCCGGTGCAAGATGCTGTGCTCAAAGGAGCTGCGGACGGAAGATATTGGTGGGTTGAAGTTGGGCATGGCGGCTTCGGTGACACACATCTGCATCGTATGTGCGTCTCAGTTGCGCAAGCACTCACTGCGCTGCTGGCACCAACGACGTTCGCATGGCACTTCTGGGTAGGCATCCTCAGTTTCGAAATCAGACCCTATAGTCAATGGCGATATAGGTTTCGGATACTGATATGCGGAATGAGGTTAAGAAAGGGCCGAAGGCAAGCACATTCATCTTGTGGAAACATGGCAATCAAAGAGCTGGAGGGTATGCTCGACGCCCCTTTCGAATTCGCACGAGCCTTCGAAGCAAAACTCGAGCGGTTCCGTAAAGCCTGTCTAGATTAGGGTCTTCAAGCGTTCAAGCTCCTAGCCTCTCTCTTTCAACCTGCACTATGCAACTGCTTGAGACGGGAATTATTCCAGTTGCTGCAAGAAAGCGACACAACATGACTACAACGCCCTTCGAGCGACGTAGCACAACCAGAATGAAGCCAACCACGATCAACTACGTATCTGAACAACATCGCAAACCGCTTTATCACCAATGGTGGCAGACCACTATGCCAAAGGCGGCCTCTATGACTCTATGCTTGTGTGTGTGCCGGCTACTCTCTGCAATATCGGGACGAATTTGGGATCCGCCAGAATCTTTTCGGCCAGATGCAGGAAGGTTTGTAGGGTTCCCGCTTCGTCGCTGAAAGCACTACAGCAAACTTAATTTGATCAACCACGGCTGAATGCAATCCATGCGGCCAGCAAAGCAGGTGCAGTGCAAACTCCCATTCACCAGCCTCCTTCATGCGATTCATGCATGTGTGTGT